CTGCGGCGGACAGGGAACACCTGCGGCGGACAGGGAACACCTGCGGCCAGGTGCCTGAAATGAACAAAACAGTTTTGATAAACTTGTTTATAACCATTTTCACCGATCAAGAAAAACTCTTAAATTTTCGTTTTCTTATTAAAAAGCTGCTGCAAAGAAAAACTAATCAGGTTAATTAAAAAAAAACCAAATGAGTCTTTTGTTTGTAAACTTTCTCTTGTCCGCATCGTAACTTCTGATGACTTGAATGAAACTTGATACGAGTTTGTACCGCCACTGCACAACGTGTCACACAACCTTTCACCACCCCAGCTCCAAGGTCAAGATCACAAATCAAGGTCAAGGTTAGAACGAGGTATTTGCTTGTCTGGGCCGTTGCTATAGATTTCTGTATAACAGTTTGTGGACGGGCGTATAATGAGCTGTATCCAATGCTCTCGTTTTCTTCCTTCTTTTAAAATAATAATAATAATCCATAATTTTAACAGAAATACATCAATAAATGTTCAACAGAACGCTCAACGCTTTAAGGTGCTTAAAAACTGCCTGAATGTTTTTATATTCAAAATATTTGTTTTTTTAAATTACATTCCCCTTTTTTGAGAAATATGTTACCATGTGCGGTGCTGAGCTCAGTCAGCTCCAATGAACTTTATTTTTTAAGTTCTCCACCTGAAGGCGACATGGACCTTCCAGTGTGAACGATCCCTCAGAGAACAGAAAGCACCGTCGTGTCCTCCAGCAGTTTGAACACGTGATGATGAAGCGGTGCCGACACACGGGGGAAACGGCGCCGGCTTTAACTGGAAGCAGAGTTCTGCTCCTTCTCCACCTACACGTCCCGTACAAACCCCGAGCTGAGCGAGTCGAGGTCGCAGCCGCTCGCTGACGAGTCTTTCTGGGAACAACAAACACGCACCTTTACCAAAAGCTGCGGCACAAAACAGCCGCTGAGTTGTTCTGAGGTTGTTGCTGTCTGCTTCCTGGTTTTCACACTCTATATCTGAGTTGCTCGCCTTTTGTGTTTTGTTTAAATAGTCATTAAAAATGTTGATTTCTCGATTAATCATAACTGAGCTGTGAACAGGAAACCAGCTGCTCCACCACAGACTGGTTTGCTGCTGCGAGAGATTTATCAAACCACAGATCTGTTGTCGCTTCACTCATTAATGGCGCTTTATTTTTATGGCTGTGGCAGCACTGAGCACAAATCTTTATTTTGTGACATTTTACAGCTGAGGAGTTCTCTTGATCATTTGTTCCCAAAACTTTCTGAAACCCTTTCAAAGTTTTTTTTTTTCTTTTCTTCTTTTTCAAAGATAAATCTTTTTGGTTCTCTTCCAAAAGTTAACCCAAAATCACAACTGAGCCAAAAAGCTCCAGTTTAGTCTCACCAGTTCCAGAAACTGGTTCTCGTCTCCGTTTTTGTTTTTTTTCTGTCGTCAGTGAAGTTCTTCTGGGTCGTCTTCAACAAAGCACAATTATGATTCGCAGCGGGTTCTAGAAAGTGCCGTGCTTTGACTTTGGAGTTGAATGGTTCTGGTTGGCTCTTTTCTACCACCTGCACCGTCCGGTGAACCTGGGGTCGCATTTCCTCTTGCGTACACCACCTGGGGAGTTTGCAACAGTCCCAAGAACCTTCAACTTTTTATACGGACGTATGTGTAACCGACCCTACATGGCAGGTCACGTAATATTTTCGTCACCCCCACTTAAAGGTCACAAATCAAGGTCAAAGGTTATACAAGGTCCTTGCTTGTCGGGCCATTATAACAGTTTGTTGATCGTTTAATGTGCCGCCTGCGGTGCTCGTTAATAATCTTGAGGAACACGAAGCTGATTGCAGATGGTCTTGTTGGCCATCGTTGTAAAATGTTTCTGGATTTCTGTATGAGCACAAATTCCAGTTACGTATATTTGATGCTTGTAAATCAGAACATGTAGTTGTGATTAAATTGTGAACCTTATAAATGAAAATGTCTGAGAATTACATCTTTGTGCGTCCCGAGGTAAGACTTTACATGCGTGTTTAAAAAAAAAAAATTGTATTTAAAAAAGAATTAATTACACAAGTTACAAAATGTTTGTTGTGGTCTGTTTATAGATACAAAGCAAAAAATAAATAAAAATAAAATACAAACTACGACTAAAACTCTGCGCTCAAGTTCTCTAACTTGCTTGAATTATGATCAGATGTTCTGTCCTCTCATCTGATTGGTCGATATCCTGTCAATCACAAATTTAACAATCCAATCAGAGAACAGATGGGTTGGGCTGTCGGGGGGGTGGAGCTTTACCGGGCTGCAGGTCCTGGAAGGGTAGTACGTTCTGAAGGACGGCGCCGGTGCTTCTGCGGCTCAGGTAACGCTGGAGAAACTGCACGCTCTGATTTACAAGCTCAACGTTTCCATGACTGGAGTCTGAGCTCGCATATCTGGATATCATCTGAAGTCCCCTCACGTCAAAACCCCAACTTTTGGAAATTCTGATCTAGGCAACGATTTCAGGGGGAACCCAGACATCCTGCTCCTCAGTTCTTCCAAGGTTTTCTCCGACCGAAGGATACGTAACCCCTCCAGTTATTTTTGATCCGTCCTTGGATCGTGTTCCAGTGGGAGACATCCAATTTAGTTTTCCAAACCACCTCAGCTGATTAGCTTTGCTCCCTCTGGATGATGGAGCTCCTCGTTTCTAAAGTCGATCCGGTCCCCCTACAGAAGAAACTCCTTTCGGCTGTCTGTGTTCTGCTTCTTTTTCTTTCTGTCATTATCACCGGAGATGAGGCAAGGAACGTAAATGGACTGGAAATTAAATCCTTTTTCTTTACCCGCTTCTCCTTTTTGGTTTGCGAGGAGCTGGTGTCTCCCCAGCAGCCGCTGTATGAGAGGACACCCTGGACAGGTCTGTCCATCACAGGGACATGCAGAAACAGTCTCATTACTGCCCTCAATCACACCTCGTAGCTCTAAATGGTTCCTAACGGGCATGTTTTGGGTCTGGGAGGAAACCGGAGTATCTGGAGGAAACCCACATGTGCACGAGGAGAACATGCAAACTCCGCCCAGAAATGGGGAGGTGACAGCGCTAACCGCTGTTCCACCGTGCCTGGACCAGAACATTAACAAGTAAACCTTCACCACAACAGACTGGAGCAACGCCCTCATTACTGCCAGGAAGCTGCGATCCACCACTATTTAAACTAGGGGTGCACCGATTGCAGTTTTCTGGCCGATCACGATTTCTAAAAAGTCTGACCTGCCGATTCCGATTTTGGCCGATACTGATTTTGTTTTATAAGCGACACTGTCAGGTGTTACAAGGTCACAGCGCACCTTCAATTTTCTAATCTAATTTTACTGAAAAACACACTCCTGAACAATATCCTAGAAACAATACAAACTTGTTTTAACTGGCCATGAAGTAGTGCTCGGAAATATGAATGAAGTTCAGACAATTGTTGTTAAAACAAACAAAAAAAAAATCTATAAAATCGGTTTCTTATGAAAGTTTCGACCGATTTTCCAAAATTAATGAAATCGAGGTGCACCCCTAATTAAAACTCCTCCTCTTTGGATCGGTGACTCGTTCGGGCTTTAAAAAGGTTCTCGTTTTACATTTAGGCCGTTTGTCACCGGTACTCTGTCACATTTTATAAATTTTATTTTGAATCTTTAAAAATACTAAAGCTAGTTGGTCAGACAATAAATTGGGTTTTAGCTCAAAAAGCTGAAATCATCCGGAGGATGAAGCATCTCTCAGGTCTTCGGCGGACTTGTTTCCTGCTTCTTGAAGAGTTTGAGGTTCTGTTTGGCTGCTGGAAACGTTTTTATTGTACGTTTTTTTTTTACATCCGACTCTTCGGTTTGTCCTTCCCAGACTCTGAAAGACACACCGACTCTACGCCACACTGAGATTGTCTTTTTATTCCTTTTTTTCTTATCAAACTGGACAGAAAATGAGTAAAAAAAAAAAAAAAAAAAAGCAGCTAAAGTCCAAAAGAAAAAGACCTTTAGAAAACCCAAAGAACTATCGATGAAACCCGCTGTGAGGATTACAGAAAGTCTTCGTGTTTGGAGGTTAAGAAGGATGGAGGCTCCGTGCTCTTAAAGGAGCGTGCGACGCGCCGCAGCAGGACTTTTAAAGCTCTGCATGTTACAAAGGAATCCATACGTGATGTATGGCCTCATCCAGTGTCGTTGGCGTGTGCTTGCCTGCACACAGATGCACACGTGTGACTGTTTGAGGGCCCGGTTTCATGTTACTATGTCAGCTACAGTAAATTGCATGCAGCTTTCCCCCCGTCGGAGCTATTCATCCGGACTCTGCTGCCCGCATTCCTCCACAGCCCCACAATGGACAGTGAGAACGTGAGACGCCGCTCGTCCTTTCTGCACGCTCGGCGTGGTCGCGTCTTCGGCTTTTCACCGCGCGGCCCACGTCCTCCGGGGGGGAACCGGAGAGCTGAGTGGGATGTAGGGCGAGGGGGGAGAGCGGGCGAAGCAGAGAGCGCTGAAGTAAGAAAGGTAATGAGCTGCTGTTCCTTTGTCTCGCACCTGTTGCTAGGCCTCTCCTGCCCCCCACCCGTCCTCCCCGCGCACCGAGGGACAAATGCAGAGCTCATTGGTTCAGCCTTTTGGAGGCTCACGTGTGCCCGTACGTGTCAGAAGACGGCTGTATGCTCTTTGTTACGCCATTTTCAGAATGTTTAAAATAATCTCTCCAACTTCCACACACATCTGGTCAGCAGCTCCGTTGTCCCGGTGCTGCTCCGTTTGATAAATCTCATCCTCAGAACTTGCTAATCACTCACAGCCGAGCTGCAGCTGCGGCTCCGTTAACACGTGTTTAATCTTTCCGTCACTATGCGTCGGCCCCGGCCGCAGCAGCTGGACTCCATAACGATAACGATGACTGACGTGTCCGTGTTCCTGCTTCTGCTCTGCTGTCCAGACGTGTTACATCTGCGAGGACCACGGGAGGGAGAGCAAGGCGGCCTGCGGAGCCTGCATGACCTGCAACCGGCAGGGCTGCCGGCAGGCATTCCATGTCACCTGGTGAGTCTTCGAAGTCAGGAAACACAGGTGGGAACGCCGGTGGGCCGAGGAATCCTCCATGAGGAAGTACTTTGAAAAATACTTTCATGTGCAGAACTTATCCCCACATTCATTTATTCATTTTTATTTGTTTTTAGCTACTTTATTTATTCTTGCTTTAAATTTTAGAGTTAAATAAACAGTTTAGGCTTATTGTTTTATTTTATTTGTTTATTTTGGGTAAAATTTGCTAAAATGCAGCATGAATGCCGAGCGCTGAACAACTCATGTTGAAGCTCAGAGAAGCAACACTGCAACTAATTAATTCAACCTTTATTTAAACAGTCACATTGAGCCTCAAAGACTCATTTACAAGTGAGACCTGTTTGGACAGACAACAAAAGTGGTAAACTGGACGCATGTAGGAATTGGAGGCGAAAAAACTCAGATATTAAAAACACCTCGCACAAACAAGCACATAGTGATGTAGACATTCTGCAGAGGGGGACGACGAGAGCGGTGAGCATGATTCATAGATGCTCTCGAGGGCACTGTAAGAGTTCTGATAAAGATGTAATAATCAGCCAGTGTCCTATGGTGAGATCCATAAACATTCTCGAGGTATTCAAAAAAGTTCAATCGAGGTATGTCGAGGAATGGCCAAGAATAATGACTATGAGAATCCAAGAGTCCTGAAATGATGACACAAAGTTTATTCAGCTGGTTTCATCTGGTTATCAGTTGGAAATTCCTCAGGGAGAGGGTGGTGAGCGTCAGATCACATGTTCTCCAGACGAATTCAGATAAGATGGCCTTCAAGGCCAGCCAAGGGAGCCAAATTCAGATAAACACAGTTGTTTTGGGGACAGGCAGAACTTAATGACATCAACCTTGAGTCTGTGTTGGTCCACTCGGTTCAGAAATGTCCAAATTACATGGCCACACCGATGGAATGTGACTGAGTAAAATCCCCGAGATCTGATCCATTCTGCCCAAAGCATTTGAGTCCGGGTACTCGAGGCACAAAGGCAAGCAGCGTGTTCGGGTCCAAATCTGCTGCAAACGACTTCCTTGATTATAGATAAAACCAGCAACCAGCCAAATCCAAAAAGCAGGAACCAGTTATCGTAAATCCAATTAAATATGCGTCCTTAAAATCCATTAATGGCAGCAGAGATAGACACATCATCAAGTCTTCCAAGTCAATGAGATATCCAGCCGTGTGCGTGCCAACAGGGCAAATCGGCTCGCCTAAAGCCTGTCTTCTCTTCAAGAAATGTTGTAAATTGAGTTGAGGGACCAACTGATCAAAACAAGTCCATAATTATGGTTTGGAAGAAATGCAAGAGAGGCTCACAAGCAGTTTTACAGACAGACAGCAGCAAAGCAAAGCGGAGAGGGAGGGGAATGGAGAAGTGTCCGTTCTCGGCAAGAGCAAGTGGTGAGCACTAAAAGCTAGAAGTTGCAACCTCAGCTAAAAGTAGGATAGAAGTAGCTAAAAACCAAATGTAACAAAAAAGTTAGCTAAAAAAAGCAAAAGGCTAACTAAAAGATGATGTAAAGAAAGTCTAGCTAAAATAGAAAAAGGCTAAGAGTATCCGAAAGGTGGCCAAAGCGAAAACAGTCAATGGCTCACTTAGTGTCAAAACGTTAGCTACAAGTAAAACAAAAGACTTTAAACGTAGCAAAAGGCTAGCTAAAAATAGCAAGAGATTACCTAAAAGCTAAGAAAACATTTTATTTAAACATCAGAAGGCCAGTTAGAAGCTAAAAGTAACAAAAGGTTGGCAAAAAGCTAAAGGTGTCAAATGTTAGCAAAAATTAGCTATAAAGTAGCTAAAAGTAACAAAAGGCTAGTTAAAAGTTCATGTAGCAATGTGGTAGCTAGAAGCTAGTTAGAAGCTGATAGTAACAAAAGGTTGGCTAAGGTCTCTAAAGGTTGGCTTTAATTACCAAAACCTAGCTAAAAGTATCTAAGGGCTACATACAAGCTAAGGCAGTGAAATTAGACAAAAGTAGCAAAAGGCTAGCTCAAAGATTAGCTACGGTGGAAAAGATTTGGCTAAAAGATTCAGAAGTCTAGCTAGAAGCTGACAGTAGCAAAAAGGTTGGCTTAAAACTAAAGGTGTCAAAAGGTTAGCTAAACGTAGCAAAAACTAGAGTAGCTGAAAGATACATTTGCAAAGTGGTAGGTACAAATAGCAAAAAAGTATCTAGAAGGTAAGGTAGAAAATCTCTAGCTAAATGTATTAGAAGGCTAGAGAGAAGCTAAATGTATCAGAAGGCTAGATAGAAGCTAAAGGTATCAGAAGGCTAGATAGAAGCTAAAGGTATCAGACGGCTAGATAGAAGCTAAATGTATCAGAAGGCTAGATAGAAGCTAAAGGTATCAAAAGGCTAGATAGAAGCTAAAGGTATCAGGAGGCTAGATAGAAGCTAAATGTATCAGAAGGCTAGATAGAAGCTAAAGGTATTAGAAGGCTAGATAGAAGCTAAAGGTATCAGAAGGCTAGATAGAAGCTAAAGGTATTAGAAGGCTAGATAGAAGCTAAAGGTATCAGAAGGCTAGATAGAAGCTAAATGTATTAGAAGGCTAGATAGAAGCTAAATGTATTAGAAGGCTAGATAGAAGCTAAATGTATTAGAAGGCTAGATAGAAGCTAAATGTATCAGAAGGCTAGATAGAAGCTAAAGGTATCAGAAGGCTAGATAGAAGCTAAAGGTATCAGAAGGCTAGATAGAAGTTGGATGAATGTTTGTTCGTAAACTGAACTCTTAACGTCTCGTTTGCTCAGCGCTCAGATGGCCGGTCTGCTGTGCGAGGAGGAGGGGCCAGAAGCCGACAACGTGAAGTACTGCGGCTACTGCAAGCACCACTACAACAAAATGGTAAAAAAAAAAAAAAAAAGGTTTTTTTTTACAAAGTTGTAAGATTTTTGCTTCTATTTAGCCTGAATATTGGACTGATTTGTTTGTGTTTATCAGAATATTTAGTGTCAGATAAAGTTAAAACCTTGAATTAAATCATCGTTTTGTTTTTTACTCAGACAGCTGATCAAACGAGTCGTGGTTTAGTTCCAACATTGTCTGCAGTATTTTACAAAAGTTTTAAATTTAGTCTTTTGTGTTATGTTGGTATTGTATGGAGATAAGTTTAAAATAACTTTATATATATGTACACACATAATATTATAAATAATAATGATAACATGTATTTCTTCAAAGAATTGCATTTACAAATCATTTTAAAACTTAGAAAGTTAAAATGTACGTAACGTTAAAAAAAATTAATTAAATAAACTTTAAAACAGGGAGGTGGGATTGGTCTAAAAAACATTTTTTTGAGTGGGAGAAGCAACGTTGACTAAAATAATCAGAATTTTATGATTTTCTGTTTAAGTTTCATCCTCATCATCCTCGCCTTCCTGTCCTTTTCTTCTCATCCTCTTCATCTTACTACTCATCTTGATCCTCCTTATCCTCATCTTCACCGTTCTCATTCTCTTCCTTGACATCCTTCCTCTCTTTACCATCCTCCTTCACTTCAGTCATTCTGTTCCTCCGTCATCATCTTCCTCATTTTGCCCTTTCACATCATCCTCCTCCCCATTTTCATTCTTAGTTTTTATATTCATCCTTATCTTCTTCTTCATCATCCCTCTTCTTCCCCACCCTCCTCAGTCATTCCGTTCTCCTTATCCTCATCTTTATCCTCCTCATCTTTATCTTCCTCATCTTGCTCTTCCTTATTCCACAATTAGCTCTTCATCATTCTCATCCTCTTCCTCTTTGCCAACTTCACCCCTTTCTCGTTCTCATCTATTATTTCTTCTCATCACCCCCCTCCTCAACTATATCCTCTCATCATCTTCCTCCTGTTCCTCTAAATCATTCTGTTCCTCATCATCACTCTCTATCATCCTTGTCCTCGTGGTCATTTGATTCCTCTTCTCCATCTTTATCTTCCTCATTCTCGTCTCATCATCCTCTTCATCCTCCCTCTCCTTCCATCCTCCTCCTCCTCTTCATCGTTCTTCCTCAGTTTGATGCATTGACTGAGGTCTTAATACACGTTGCAATGAATAAAACTGGCACTTGTCAGGAGATAGAAACAGATCGGGTAAAAACTAAATCCTGACAGGAGCTGAGCAACACTGACAGTAATTAGCTGTAAACTTTTTGATTTAATTTGATATTTTTATTTTTATTTTATTAAAGCGGGTAAAGAGACACTTTTCACCTCCTTTCCATCCCACTGAAACAACAACCTTTGTTTTTTCAGCTACCGTCACTCTACACGGATTATTTTTACCTTTAATAAACTTTGACAACTACATAAGACGACGTCCTCTAAAAACAGTTTTTAAGGCCCTAAATCCGTTTGCTGTTTTGTTTTTAACAGCAGAAGAAGTTGCGCTCCAGCGACAATGCCAGTAGCTCCTTCAGTCACTCCAGGGTGCGCTCCGACTCACCGTCCCAGGAGAAACAACAACAACAACAACAACACCACCACCACAAACAGAGGAAGGTGAGCACCACCGGGCTCTGACACGTTTACAGAAACGGTTTTTATTTACACGGGGAAGCCCTTGGCTGCAGACACAGGCTGAATGCTTTGTCTAGATTCAGAAGAACAGCTGAGAGGGACAAACAGAGGCTAGCTATTTTATTCTAGGAAGAAAAAAAACACACAAAGAATAAAATAAGTACTGATTACCAACCCAACATTGCCTCTTTGTATGTTTTCAGAGTCATAAGGACAAGAACCGTCAGAAAGAGCGACACAAGAAGTCCACGGACAACCTGAGCTCCTCTGTGACGACGAGCAGCGTGGACAAGGTGCGACAAGCCGAAGCTCAGAGTTGCTCGAGACGTTTTGGTCACTCCGGGAACAAAATAAGAGCTGCTGTTTGTGATGCTGATGAGAGCTTCAGCTGCACGGAGCTCCGCAAGCATCGGGATCAAAACGTATTCCCAAATAGATCAGAATAGTTGCACATTATATGATGATAAATAATTAAAGACACTTTGTTGTCACTTTAAACAGCCATCCATTACATTCTGCTTGTCCTAATTTAGATTGCAGGGTTCTGGAGTTGGTGTAAAGCTAAACTTTGTTCCACCCAGACCATAAAACAAGACTCAATGATGCTTAGCACTCAACCACACATTAATCACAGAGTGCACACATGTGACAGCTGTCTGGTGCTGCCCTGTGGATGGAGGAGAGCAGAGCCGATTCGTAAACAAGAGTGCCTCAGCTATAGCCTTTTGTCTTTCACATTAGCTAATATGTATGACATTAGCTTCAGAGCCAATTATATATATATATATATATATATATATATATATATATATATATATAGCATATATACGGTGTTAGCTCTAAAACCTGTACCATACTAAACATCACAAGTTGATCACATTTGAATGTTGTGACCCGTGTTATCGTGTTTCGGTCAGAATGCATCAGAATATTTTACCACTGCACAATTTTTACCAGCCATAAAAGGCTCTGTTAGTGTTTGTTCATTTCTTTATGAAGTTGAATGGATTATGGTGAATAACAGCAGGTGGCTAAATGTTGATGCCAGTAGAGAGAAAAGCAACTACAAAAAAAGTTGATGTCCCACTTTGGAGGTACGCATCACTCAGTCATGATCTTGTTTTTTTTTTTGTTTGTGTGTTTTGTGTTAGATTTCGTCCAGTCACCACAGCACCAAGGACAGTGAAGGAAAGTCTAAGAAGCTGAGCTCTCACAGTCACAGTCATCGCTGTAAGAAGACAGGAAGTACCGGCAAGAGCTGCTCCTCCTCTTCCTGCTCCTCCAGCCCGTTCAACACCGGTACCTCCTGAATTGTTTCTGTCTTACTGGATAAATCAGCTTCAGGTTGTAGTTTCTAACTCTGTGTTTCTCCTGGAGGAGGCTCCCTGTCTGCCACTCAGGATTTCCATCAGTTCTCGTCTTCCACCCGTTCGGAGCGAGAGCACGACCACGGGGGGGACGACCACGGTGGAGAGAAGCGCAAGGAGCGTCACAGGAGGTCGGCGGTGCACGAGGAGGATGAGGAGAAAGGGGAGGACAAAGATGAGGAGGAAGAAGAGGACTGTAAATACCACAAGCCCCCAGCGCTGACCCCCGCCGATTCTTCGTTAGCCGCGTCACAAAGTCACGAGCGCGCCGAGGGGACCTCCAGCCCCTTCGAGAACAAGGTCACCATCTCCACCTTTGGCTCCATCATGCGCATCACCACCTCTTCAGGACTCAGCAGCAGCAGCAAAATCCGCAAGATCTCCACGTCGGGCGACTACAAACCCTCCAAGTCTCTCGGCAAGCCGTCACCGATGAGCGTGCCGCCCGTCTTAGAGGAGGCCGGCCCGAAGGACAAGGCCACGCCCCCTCTGCTGCCCCGTGAGAGGCGGCACCACGGCAACAAAAAGAGCCGCCATGGCCCGGGCCGTCCGCGGGGGAGCAAGAACCGAGAGAGGAGGGAGGAGGATCACCACCACCACCATCACCACAGCACCGCAGCACCTACGCCCCCTGCGTTGAGCTCCTCACTCTACACGAGCCCCTCCTTCCCCTCCACACTTCCTCCCACCGCTTCCTCTTCCGCCTCGTTCACCTCCTCTGCCGGGAGCTTTTCTGCAGCTCGTAGCAACTCTCTGCTCGGCTCCGGTGAGTCTGAGCGAGAGGGGGTGGTGACCCTCTTGACTTCCTGTATCTGTGTGTGTGCGTGCATGTGTACGTGTGTGTGCACTGTGATGTTCAGATAAGCTGCTGTGAGTTGTGGAAACATTTCAACACTTCAGGTTGTGCAGAAATTGCCTCGCGTTGTGTTTTTATTTTAGTTTTCATTAAATCTGAGGCAGATTTTGTCCTGGTTCAGTTCTCATGTATGAGCTGCTCACTTCCTGACCCACTTCCTGAACGAGTCTCTTTGGTGTCAAACATGTTTCAGAACTTACGTGAAACCCCCCAACGTTTGTTTACTTGTCCTCAGGTATCTACTCCAGCCTGAAAGATCCTCTCACTCTGGGCGGGGGTGTCTGCAGCACCCCTCTCTCCCTGGGTGGGGGTGTGTGTAGCACCTCCTTGTCTCTGGGAGGGGGGATGTGTAGCGCCCCTCTCTCTTCGGGACTCCTTCCATCCCACGGCTCCTCCCTGTCCCTCCCGTCCATCAGCGCCGCCTCCAGCTCGCAGGTACGTCAGCGAGGCTGCGTTCAGACGAGCTGCACAAACTGAACTGCACGTTCTGTAAATAAATCTGTGAACTAAAGCACACGGAAGAAATTATAAAAATCTGAGCTTAAAATAAAATAAGTTTGTCTGGTATAGAACTGTGCTAAACTTCTGGTCCAACTCATTTCTTTATTGTCCCCCGTCACGAACAAACTGCCTGATTTCCAGTCACTTTCAGTCTAAACCACATCTCTATGTGAGCCAGGCTACCAAAGACCCTGTTGACCCTCAGGAGGGAGGGTAGGGAGTTTATCTGCAGGTGGTAAATGAGTGTCTCGTACAGTTTAAAGCTTTGAGCTCCACACTCCAGCTTTGAAGTAAGAAAGCTTCCCGGATGGGAGCAAATCATCTTTAGCTTCATAGCAAGAGTTCATTTGTTTTTTAATTTTATTAATTACAAAGCAGCATAAAAAAATGTGTCCAGAATATTGAAACAATTAGTCCAATAATCGCTTGACGAACTGTAGCTGTGATGACTGATCATTATCTGATACTCGCCAAGTGCTCTACATCTCCTGATAAAGGACATGCTTGAACCCCTAGTTCGACCGATATTGGTCAGGCCAATATTTTAGGACGATATGGGCGTTTGGGGACATATCGTTATCAGTGATAATTGCCCCATTATGCACCGATATAAACACTGGGAACCAGCCGTGTCCTTCCTTGTTAAAGGCGTAATTGTACAATATATCCAGCAGAGGAAGCACGAGGATTACAGTAGTCCCTCGTTTATCGCGGGGGATCTGTACCCTGAAGACCCGCGATAAGTGACAAACCGCAAAGTAGGAATAGTACAAGTAGTAGCACAGAATGTCATGACTTCAGCTCTCTGCCTCCAGCTGCTCTGTGCCACCTACAAGCGCTCTCGGCCACGCCCACTTCTCCGCTCTGCACGGAGATCAGCTGCAGGAAGAAGCTTATCCTGCAGTATGGGCTGCACACAGGTGCAGCAGGTGCTAAATAATTCAAAATAATTCATTTAAAATAAAAATTCCATGCCGACCGTGCGCCTCATCCATCAATCAGCCAATTGTGTGTCGTGTCCAATCTTACTTTGAAAAACCGTAATAGAGCAAGTCTGCGAAAAATGAAACGCGAAGGCCTTCTGTACTTTCAAGTCATGGCTGTTCACTTTTAACTTTCACTTTCAGCACAGCCGAAGCAGCGAGCAACTAAGTACTGTGTATCGTATTTTGTTGAACAAAGCATGGTAAGTTTATTTTAACCGATCTGTAAAATAAATCAATAATAATAAATTATGTTTAATCCTCCAACCTGCTTATCATTAGCTACATGGCCTCTCAAGTTAGCAAGCTGACATTTAGATAAATTAGCATAGGCTATTGCCTTGTCAAACTTGATCCAGAACAATAAATCTCACGCAGTGTTAATATATTTCAGAGTTAGTAATGATATCTTTGTCACTTTCAAAGAAATGCATTGTCTGAAATCTTTACTTCTCTGAAAATAAAATACTCTGCTGCAGTCATTACTAATTAGACCGTCACCATACGTGACTGAACAGGGAAGGGTGTCTCTTTGTTTAATTTATATTTTTGTAACACACTTGATAACTTTATAGTGAATAGTGGAGGATAGAGAATGTGAACTCACGTTACGAAGCATGTTTCAAGACTTCAAGAGTTAAAACAGCTTTAATAGTAACTGTTTACTTAGATTCTTGGGGTGGTCAAAGCTCAAAAATTCCAGCCAATATATCGGTTATCAACATGAGCCCTTTCCTCACATCAGTATCAACGATAGTCAAAAGTTCCATATCGGTCGAGCGTTTGACACCTGCAGAGGCTTTGTCAGTCTGATGTCGATCTTCTGTGTCTTGAAGGTCCATCCAGGTTCCAGCGCCTCCTACAGCCTGACCTCCTCTCAGCCGTTCGCCAGCTGTCTCTCCACGACGTCCTCGCTGCCGCCGCTTCTGAGCCAAGGACAGACATCGCTGCCGGGTGAGAGGACGGGCGTTTGCGGAGCCTCGTTCCTTCCTCTGAAGACGCTTCGACAGAAACATAAACTTTTTGTTCTGCTCCTCAGAGTCGGACCTGGACGACTGTCGCTTCCCGTGTCAGGGCAACTCGCCGAGAGAGAGTCTCTCCTCACAGTAAGACTTTTGATTCCAGTCTCCGTTAGCCGTTCACGCATCAAAACGTTCGGCTCATTCTCACTTTTATAATGTTTTTAAATATTTAACTTGATGCACAAATATTTTCCCCAATAAAATACAATGAGGTCTAAATTTATTTTAAAAACATTGTGCTACTTATGCTACTTTTAGCTCATCTAGCCGTCTGCTTCTTCTAGCTTTCAGCTAGCCTTTTGCTTCAATTAGCTTTCAGCTTTTGTGCCATTTTAGCCATTTATCAAAATGTTTAGCTCTAGTTTTATCCATCTTTCTTTTACTGTCAAATTTTAGCTAGCCTTTTACTAGGTTTGCCTTCATGCAAAAATTTTACCGTATTCAGTTTTTAGCTGGTGTTTTTCTTTTGCTTTCGGCTATTGTTCTGCTCCTTTAAGCATAAACAACTCAGTTTCAGCTTCTCTGACTGATTTCAGCGTTCACACTGTTAAGCCTCCACAGTGACCAGTTTCATCCTCCTCCTCCACAGGTCTCCCATGAGCTGTCTTCCTCTTCTGTTCGAGCAGAGAGACGGGCTGGGCGGCGGAGTCAGAACCCGTCCGGACAACGTCCCTCCTGCCAGCTCACACATCGAGCTTCTGCTGGAGAAACATGGAAATGGGGAGATGGGAGTCAACAGTAAGAACAACGTTCAGACGGCTCAAACGCTGAATCGGCACTTTAAAGTCCAAAAAAGTTCAATCTGGTCCTCTGGACATTCAAAAAAACAAAACAAAGCAAAAAAATCTAGAAACGTTTCGTCTCTCATCCAAGAGACTTCCTCAGTCTGAGGTGCTGTTTTCAGCTCAGTCTCTTAAATAGCACCTTCTCAGGGTGGATCAACCAGTTTTGCTGCTGACAACCAAAACCCGCTGATCACATGCTCAAGAAGGACCATCAGCCTAACAATGGATCATTAGCACACTGATGGCTGTTTACTACTCACAGAGGGCTGAGTGATACTAGCAATCACAGCATTGTAAGAGGGGAACAGTTGAACCCGGAGGCCTCCACCCCTGTTTAATGATGGACGATTTCTTTTCACAAAGATGGCCTCCTTTACTCCTCTCTCAAACCATCGTTCCTCTCTGTCCAGGATGTGAACATCTTCATCCTTCATCCATTTGGATTTTTCTACCTGGATTATTGAGCATGCATCAGGGCACTTTAAAGTGTTTTTTTTTTTTGTTTTTAATTTTTTGTACGTACGTTTTCCATAAAGCTGCAGGATAAACGAAAGCGACTGAAACTGAATAAAACCCGGTGAATGGTACAGCATGGCGCTTTAATAAATTTGGTTAAAGTCTGCATGCAGGTTGATTTTACAGGAAACAATAAAAACCTTTGAACTCCCGTGTGGAAAACAAGCTGCTCTTCTCCACTGATGATGAATCTGCTCCTGAAGCGTCGTTTCATCTTCCTCCTCTCTGCTGAGACAAACTCGTCATCGTCTTTGATCCACTCGTCCTCCCAGGACGTCCTCAGCCGACGCTCGTTTCATTTTCCGTTCTTCACGCTGCCTTATTTCCACGCCCGGCGCCATCTCTTCATCTCCTCTGTGATTCGTTCCTATATTTATCCTCCAGAATCAGGCGTCACGTCTCAGAACTGCGTCATCAAAACATGTTTTCACCTGAGAGCTGGAGCGTCTTGTTGCTGCTGCAGACTGAATAAGGCCACCGTTTTAAGATCTACATCACTAGTTCCTCTACTGTTGTCCAATGAGGGAGGCCTGCACTGCCAAGGCAACCAACCAACCGCCCGCCCCGCTATAACCATCCATACATGTTCACGTGTGACCCCCAATCAAACGGTTCACCTCTCACAGTTACGTGGACGGCCCATGAAATCTAGAAGCGCAAACCTTCAAACATTGAAATGATTTTTTTGGTGAAGCCAATGAAGAAAAGGTGGGAGTGTGACAGACCTTAGTGGCATGCCTCAGACTGAAGAAGTCTTTCAGATGAAAGACGAAACGTTTCTCCCAAAAAGAAACTGTCCAGATGACGATTTAACTCAGAATCGATGCAAAACAAGACCTCTCCTTTGTTTTTCCACATCTGATCATTTATTGAATTACATTCATTCAAACATGTTGCGACCCACTGAAAACACAAAGTGTTTTTATCAACAAGAAGCTTTGAAAGTTCTTTGAGACGCCCTGAAGAAAAGCTGCACACTCTGCGAACCAATCGTCCGAGTTATAAAACTATCAAGTGTTATTAAAACAAAATGTTCTTTGTCCAATCTCAGAAACTGAGAGGAAACATCCTGTTGTTTTTAATTCACCTTCAACAACAAACTATATTTATGGTTTAATAGTAAACCTGCACCAGATTTTACAACAGTCCTCAAACTTCACATACATTTTCTCTGTGTCCAACATTTTAACAAATTTGTTGCTTTAAAACCTAAAAAAGGAGAAATTCCACTTCAGTTTATTTTTGACATTATTATTATTATTATTATTATAGACTTGATTAAATTGTAAAAGTGGGTGTGTTTTGTTAGTTATTTTACAGTTTGTTTCATTTTGCCTCATTGGTTCAGTCTCGCGTGCAAGAACAAAAACATCTGGACCCGTCCAGAACTTTTTGCTGCTCCGTCTCGATATATTCCAGATTTATATATATATATTTTTTTTTTTTTTCCTCCTGGAAACAACCGTTTAGTGAAATGTTTGATGTGGGCTCTCCTCTGTTCTAGTCGTGGAGATGCTCCAGTCGCTTCACTCCCTGCAGCAGGAGAACCAGCGCCTCCAGGACCAGATCCTCAGCCTGACGGCCAAGAAGGACCGTCTGCAGCTGCTCAACACGGAGCTGGCCGTCCCTTTCCCGCCCCACGTCCACTCGGCGTCCCTGCAGACGTCTGCTCAGATCAGCTTCCCATCGTCCTCTCAAGGTGAGCATCTTCACATCAGACCTTCAGCTTCTCCGTTTCCTGTTTTATTTAGCAACAAATGTCAAACAGTTGTCAGCGGTCATACTTGATCAGCCGTGACTCTTCAGGCAGAGAGGATGAAGAAAAGGCCGAAGTCTTCCTCCAGGCTAGGCTAACCCAGGACTTGCACGTCTAAGAGTAGATCCACTCAAAACAAAAGGCTGTAAAAGTAAAGTGGGATGAATAAAAACCAGCTGGAGGAACATTTTACAGCTAATTAACTTAATTTACAAGACGGGCTACAAAAAAAAAGAGACTTTTAGAGACTGAAACTCTTAGAAGACGGGCAGAGGTTCAGCAGTCTAAAGAAAACCTTAAGAATAAAGTTCCTGAATTAAAGACTACATCATCTGCAAGTCATAATCTCATCACCAAATTAGAACAATCTGTAGAAACCTCTGGTTTCAAAGGACGAGGCTGAAGGTCATGACCTTCGGACCCTCAGGGGCCACTGTCAAGTCAAGTCACATTTATTTATATAGCACATTTAAAACGGTAACTGTTATCAAAGTGCTTACCAAAAAAGACCACAGCATCAAATATTAATAACAACATATTACAGCAACATGAATAAAAGCATCAAAACATGAAATGTAATGAGAAACAATGAAATACTAAATCAAATCACTCTGCGTTAAATGTCAGTGAGTACATATGTGTTTTGAGGAGAGATTTAAAAATAGAGACTGAGATGGCCTGTTGAATGTTGATGGGCAGATTATTCCAGAGTTTAGAGCCCATGACTGAAAACGCCCGATCTCCTCTGAGCTTCAGCTGGTTTTAGGTACGGCCAAAAGCAGCTGGTCTGATGATCTCAAGGCCTGAGGAGGAGTATAAGGATGAAGGAGGTCGGAGAGGTATGAGGGTGCAAGGACATTAACACACTTAAATGTCAGCAGAAGAATCTTAAAATCAACACTGCATTAAAACCAGTTCTGGTTCTGGGCTCAGGAACACTTCCACAGATCATTGTCTGTAAACACAGTTCATCCACAGCTGCTGCTTAAAGCTCTATCAGACAAAGAAGCCAGATGTGAACACCATCCAGAACCGCTGCCGTCTTCTCTGGACCAGAGCTTGTTTCAAATGGACCTGAACCTCTGAGGTCAGATGGGTCCACATCTAAAATTCCTTCATAAACCACAAACAGTCCTCCAGAACCTCCAACAACTGGTCTCCTTGGGTCCAGGACCTTTACAGACTGTTGATAAAGAAGAGAGGGGTCTTCAGAGGAAACCTGGACCTGGTCCAACTTTCAAGTTGCCTCACATTTTTATTTTTGTCTCTTGTAGTTTCTTAAACATTTAATTTGTTGTTTTATGAAGTTCCATTTTTGTTCACGTTCAAAGCAGTTTGTCAGAACCGGGTCGTAGTTTTCAGTGTCTGGTTCTGCCTCTCGTGTCTGCAGACCCTCTGAGCACCAACAGGAGTCCCGTCTCTAAGAGCTGCTTCCTGAACGACGCCTCCTTCGTTACCTCGTCAGAAGTGAGAAACTAACTCTTAAAGCAGAAACCGATTCTTCCTGTCGTTGAATCAACGATGTGGACGAACGTCTCGGGGGTTTATTGGATCGGGAACTGACAGATGGACGTTTTGTCTCCTGCAGGAGCTTCAGTCCGCCAGTCCGTCCCGCAGCAGCTCGTCGCTCTCCTTCCAGGGCACGCCTCCTCCTCAGCAGAGCCCCGCCTCTTTTGGGCAGCCATTGCTCAACGGGTTGGGTCGAGGGGCGACTGATGGTTTGGGGAGCGTCGGTCCGGCTGGCGCCTCTGCTCTGCCCGTGGTGGGGGGGCTCATGGCGTCCCTGGCAGGAAGTCCTCAGCTGAATGGCGTGCTCGGCGGTCTGAACGGCGTGATCCAGTCTCCGGCGCTGCCCGCTCTGCGCCCCCAGCCACCGCCGCTCAACCCCCAGACCCTGGCGCAAAGTTTCCAGTTCCCCAAGAGCGCGAGCCCGTACGTAGCCCCGCTCTTCATCAGAAGTTCTGATCCGACCCGGTTTTGGTTCTGTTCTGTAAACAGGGATGTGTTGGTTTGCTGCAGGTCTTCTCTTCTGTCCGAGCAGCAGAAGCAGCTTCTTCTGGAGCAGCAGCTCCAGCAGTTCCTCACGTCTCAGAACTTCTCACCGGTAAACGAACCTCTCGTCTCCGTGAATGAACTGAAATCAGGTCCGGACCTTTAAAACGAGCAGCTCCGTCCCGTTTAACTGAACAGGACTGAAACGGGCCGGGAGAAGGTTTAAAGGTCCACCTGAACCCGTTGTTTCTTGCTCTTCCTCCTCTTCTTCAACTTGGACTTCTTGTTCTTCTGGTTCTTATTATTATTCAGAAGTTTCTCGATCCGTTCACAACAGGAGTATTCTGTGCAGAGTTGTGGACGACCCTCAGCTACTACCACGAGTTTTAGCTCAGCAGCTGTAAAACCGACTGATCGCAGATGTTTTGTTGTCTACGGCAGCCATCTTGAGTCTTGTTGTCTCCAATAGTAAATCAGATCCAGTCATCCAGTGGATATTTTGCTAACAGACCAAAGCAACGATTAAACGTTGAACGAAAGCTGGGATTTAAATAATCTTTTAATTTTTTTATTTCTTATGTTGAAAAACTTAACGCTTTGTTTAGAAAATTATTTTAGGATCCTGAAATCGTTTCAGTTTTTAAGCATTTTTATTCAATTCAATTCAATTCAAAAATACTTAATTAATTCCAGAGGGAAATTATATATATTATATATATTATTATATATATTATTCCATTCAGAGCCTCAAATTCTGCCTCCTGGGTGTCAGAATATTTATTATTGTTTACCTTTTTCAAATAAGACAAATCTTATTTATTTCCAGAATCTTCACGGCAGCAGAAGGAATAAGATAAAACTTCAGACTTTTACATTTTATTGGAAGCTCAGTATTTATACAAATTAAGATCTATATTTCTGAACACTATTAACTATTATCAAATGCTGTCTGTTAGCAAAATATCAGATTTTAATGAAACTCAGAAACTAAATGTTTGGTCTGTTCAAAATGGTTCAAACCAATTAAAGATGGCCGATGCAGCCAGCTCACCACAGGAAACATTCATTTTACAGATGCTGAGCTGAAACTTGGTGTGGTAGCAGCTGAGAGTCATCCCCAACACACACTCTGAGCACCTCTAACAGATGAAAGATCAGAACCGATACAACCGGGTCGTCCCGGTTTAAAGCTCTGGTCTGAGAGGCAGCGGGCGATCTGCATCCTTTAGCTCTGGTTCAGGTTTGTAATGAGGCGCAGAGTTTCCTGCAGCATCTCGTATTTGACTTGCAAAATGCTGAAAGTCTGCCGGGTTTGGACCCAGCCCGCAGCGACGCCACTAAATATAGAACCGTTTCCTGTTTGACTGAAGTCGAGTCGCTGTTGAGAGTCGTGTTCAAAGAACAGAATAAACTTTATTCTGTTGACGTGGATCAGGTTCTGATTGGTGGAGGGAGAACGCGCTGAAGAGGCTCGATTTAACAATTAAAGACGTGCTGCAAAACGTGTTAGGACTTATAAATAAAATAAAACTAGAGGAACTACATTTGCTGTGAAAATGCAGTGTGAACGCTTATTGCTGAAAAACAGCTGAAATTGAAGAACGAGCCTAATTTAGCAGCAGAAAGAACATATTTGTTAAATTAGACATAAATGAGCAGCAAAATTAGGAATTAAAAAATATATATATGGAAAGGCAGAAACGAGCTTAAACTAGCAGAAAAAAGCAGAAAGAACATGTTCACCCAATTAGACTTAAAGAAGCAGAAATAAGCACTAAAAAGCAGATATTATCTGAAAAAAAGCCGTAACAGCTGAAAAGTAGCTTTTTTTTTTTTTAAAGCAGCTGAAATTACCTGAAGAAAGTTGAGAGAGCACTTAGGCTGAATTAGGCTGAAAAAAGTTTAAACGAGTTTAAAGTTAAATTTAGCATAAAACAGCTAAATAGTAGCTGAAACTTGCAGAAGGAAGCTGAAAGAAGCTGAACCAGAACAAAATGTGAAGTAAACGGATCTAAAGATTTGAAGGATGTAAAATGAGCTCAATATGGCAGAAAAGGCTAAATATTTCAAACAGCTAAAGTTGCACCAATACCAAACATCATAGCAGGATTGTCCTGTAAGAGCTGAACGTTTTGATTTGATTTGTTGAAACAACAAATTGTGAAAGATGCTGAAAAACGTACAGAAGATAAATGGATCACAATAGAGTGAATGCTTCATAAACATTCGCACAATAAAACATCTATTTCAGTTTTTTTGCTCTGATCCATGTTGAGATGAAACTAAGCTTCCATTCCCAAACCAGACTGACTCTTAGAGTTTCAGACGACTTGAAGCAGATCTGAACGTGTTCAGGTCCTAACCCGGCTGTGGTCGTCCCTCCAGGACCAGCAGATGATGGTGTGTCAGCTGCTGCAGAGGCGTCTCACGCTGACCGGACCTCTCGCCTCAACGCCGAGCTCGCCCGGCCTGCTGCCCTCGTCCACAGCCTCCCCCCTGCAGGGCGGCCAGGGAGGGGGCCTCTTCGGCCTGCAGGACAACGCGCTCCACAAACCTGGGGTGAGTGGACCCGCCGTTCCGTTCTGGGCTTGTTTACATAAAAACACGTTCAGAACCACCAAGTGCTTCAACGATTAAAGAGGGAATTCAAAAAATGATAAAAAATATATTTTACTAATAAAACACTCAACACCGCCCTCTGGTGTCGAGATGAAACATGAAGGATGCCTTTCAGTTCTGCAGGTCCAGTGCCTCCTTAGAGAGGTGTTCTGGACAGGTCTGACTGGGAGAAGACTCAGGACATGCTGGAGACCGTTTCTGCTGGTCTGGAAACACCTTGGAGTCCTCCAGAAGAGCTGGAAGAGGCAGCTGTGGAGAGAGAGGTGTGGACCTCCCTGATCCAGCTTCTGCCCCAAGACCTGAGTCCAGAACCAGAAGATGATGAACAGATAGGTGGACGGATGGGTGGATGTGTCCTTTCCATGTGAAAACAAACACTTGGGGGGAAACAGATTTACTGTCTTTATATTCTTAGCTTTAATAATTAAACACAATCACCTCTGTGACATCATCACTGTGGCATTTTTGCAGGAAGCAGCTTTAAGGAGAAAACATTTTTACAAACGATGTGGTCCTGCTGGAGCCGTGATCTCCTGCTTTGACTGGATGAGGATCAGAACCTCCAGATGAGGCCACGGTCCTCCGCTGTCCTTTCCGCCTCGAGTGGAGGCCTTTAAGTACTTCGTGTAGTGGGACATGGTTTGGACATGTCCAGAGGAGGGACAATTGGTATGGGTGTATTGGTAGAAGGATGTTAGGAATGCAGCTGCCAGGAAAAAGACAAAGAGGAGATCTATGGAAGCAGTTGGAGGGTGTTGAGTTGTATGTAGCCTACTGCGCATGTGTCGGGTTACTGGGAGTGGAAGAAAGTGGGAAGGCAGGTGCACTTTATGTTAATGGAGACTATTAAAGTGTGGAGACGTCAGTGGTGTGATTATCGAGTTTACAAAATGACAGAATGGCTGCTGCTGGGAATTACAAAGTTCTTCCACCGTTCGATGAGAAGACGTTGACTGAAATCTGGAGGCTCGTTACAGACCTGGACAAAAAGAAGCAGGTTCTAGTGGTTACCCTGTCACCATCGTGAAGAGCAAGAGAAAGCTCCCTGAAAATTGCTGCAGAACACCTCAACGCTGATACGGGAATGACCGTTCTTTTGACCAAGCTGGACAAGACAGGACAGTACGAAGCTTACACGGTTTGATCAGATCAACAGAGCGCAACACGTCCATGATGAATTACATTATCAAATTTGAACGACGATACAAGTTCAAAATGGAACTACCAGATGCAGCGTTGGCATTCAAGCTCCTAGACACCGCAGGACTAAACGTTAAACAACTAGCTCCTGCTTTGACTGAAGATCAGAACCTCAAAATCTGAGGCTGAGCCTGTTCTGACTCTTGACGATATGAAATCCGCCTTAAAAAATTGCAATAATGCCCATCCGCCACAAGAGGGCGACTCCGCCTTCTTCAACAAATAGGCAGGCGTGAACAGAGTTCAAGATCAGAGCCCAAAAACAGCTTCAGGGACTAATCCACTTGACAAATGTGGAAGAAGTAAATGTGCAATATGCCAAAGCCTATTTCTGCTGGAGGTTTCTTCCTCATGAGGGAGTTTCTCTCTCCACTGTCGCCTTCATGCTTGCTCAAAATGAGAGTCCTGCGATGAAGTTAAACTCAAAGCAGTCTGCTCCTCACATAAACAATGTTAAATTATGATTTTTAAATATAAATGTTTCTGTTCAGTGCCCTGAGACGACTTCTGTTGTGACTTGGAGCTATAGAACTGAACTGAACTGAACTGAATAGAAGGCAGTATATTTTATGTTAATGGAGACGATGTCAGTGGTGTGATTGAGTTTACAGGAGACACGGAGGTAGATGGAGTGAGGACGGGGAGGAGGGAGACTACAGAGACCCTGAGGGAAGTAGAATGAGGCAGGGATTGTGATGCGTTGTTTTAGGTTCGTCTAATTACTGAAGAACTGCATCATGATGCGATTGTGGTTGATGTTGCATCATTTCCTGTTAACATCAGGTGTTGGTGATGTCAGTTTAAGAGCATCTTGTGTTTTTTGTTTCCAGGCTGCAGGAGACAAAGGAGGAAACAAGAACGGCTGATGTAACTTCCTGTTGGAGCAGCTCGAGGTCGACTCGTCGCCTCCTCCTGACAAACGTCATGAATGTATCAGCGGACGGAGAGAAGCTTCTCTTTTCACATCCTCGTTAACAGACGTTCCTCCACTAGTTTTTAGTTTTTCCCAGGCAGCTTTCAGAGAGCATGATGGTGGTCTCTTTTCAAATTGCACTAATTTAGCTCGACCAATGGGAGCTGCGTCTGCAGCTCGTCACCGCCGGAGGAGGGTGGGCTTTTATTTTGAAGTTTCCGAGCACTGAGACCTCCCTCTGCTGCTCAAACCAGCGTCGGCGAGGAAAAAAAACAGTTCAGCCACTTCGAGCAACCTCAGCCGTCTTCCGTCAGACTTCGTCTTCCCGTTTGAGCTCTCCCAGTTTCACCCGGTCTTCGGCTCGTCGCTTCTTCTCGTGTAAAGGATAAACGTAGTTGCGTCTTCTTGTGGTTATAAGCTAGTTATTACCTCAAACTGTTTTTATTTGGTGCGCGCTCGTCACCACGGTAGCCTTCGGAGGGTGGAAACTCCGCCCACTGTGGTGTTGGGACTCTTGTCCGTGTCAAAACGACAAACTTTCATTTCCTTCCTGTTGCTGCGGAGATTTAACGGATCAAACCAAACATTTGGAAACTGTTAAACAGAAGTTGTTTTTTCTGTGTGCACTTCGTGTTATTTAACAGCATAGACAGCTTCTCGATGGGGTGGGGGGGTCCTGAGGTTGTACAACCTTCACCAGGATGTAAAGAAACCGCAGATCCAACCAAGGAGTGAAAACTGGGTCCAAACCAGTAGAACCTCCTCCAGTACCAGAACCCTCAGTGGGTTCTGTTGGTCTCTCGTGGTTCTGGAGGAACTGTGGCCCACTCTTCTGTCCAGCGTTGCTTCAGTTCACTGAGGTTTGTAGACTGGACTCCGTTGGTTCTGATCCGTTCTGTTGTAGATCAGCTGCTGTGTTCTGGATCATGGTCCTGTTGGACCCAGTTTGGTCCAAACTTCAGCTGTTGGGACTCCAGAACCCTTTGGTCTACAGGGGAGTTCTGGTCTACTCAGTGACTGACAGGAGCCCAGACCATCAGCCCTTCACCACCGTGCTGACAGCTGTGAAGAGCTGTTTGCTGCAGTACATTCTGGGTAAACATCTGTCCTATGGTCTGGTTCTGGTCCAGAAGTTGTGCTGCCATGTTTTTAGAGAAGAGGTCACGACCTTTGACCTGTAGAGTCATTGCACGGTCTGACCTTCAGGGTGAATGCTGGGAGCCGTTCTTAATGTTTTCCACTTGTGAATAATGTCTCTGTAGAACGAGGTCCAGATGGTTTTAAAATGACCTTTGACCCTTTCCAGATGGATCAAGTTTCTTTTCTGAGGTTATTGCTGATGTCCTTCCAGCTTGGCATTGTTTTCAAACGTATGTTCCGATAACACTGGTCCCACTGATCAGTCAGCACCTCTGACACCCTGTGGACCTGTTGGGTTTAGTTCAGCTTTAATAAATCCGAATCGTGAAACTGTTGACCTCACAGACCCACTTCCTGTTCCTCCTGACCTCACCTGGTTTATTGTTCGTGAGTATTTTGCACTCTGTCCGGAGGTTTTTGTCCTTTACAGTTAAATCTCAACTTTTTTTTTTTTTTTGCAATAGATGCTGCCTTAACGACGGTAGGTTTCACAGAGAGCCGGCGGCTCAACTCCGTCCTCGCTTTACGTTTGTTTTTTAACATTTTATAAAACGAGCTTGTTTCTACTTTTGATAGCCGACTGAAGCAGCCGAAACACGTGAATAAACGAGCCAAACGTTTCTTACCCTTTGGTTGGGAGGCAGAGCAGAACTGTTCTTGTTTGATCTGTACTGTGACTCTTGTCGGCACTGAAAGCTTCTCACTTGGTTCTGACCCGTCTCGTTTTAGTTTGGTCTTTGTTTTGTTGCCTGTCAGAACCCTCACATGACCTTTTTGTTCATTTCAGTAGAGCAGCTGATAAAAACTGTAGCAGAAGGAAAATATTTTATTTACTCCGAACAGGACCTTTGTTTACCAACAGCTGGAGGATTAGGAAAATAAATACAAATAAAAAGTCCAGCTGTTTCTCAAGCGGTTTCTTTGTCTTGTTGCACTGGGGCGCTTAGAGCCCAAATGTAAACTGTTTTTTTTTTTTAGTACTTTTTTATACGTTGGAATAGGAGTTGTAAACTTTAATATGTTTGTGTAAAAACACATCCATCGTTTTAAGCTTTGAGGGTCTGGGTAACCCAGACGATCCGTGTTCTGAATGTCGTACTGTGTATCTTTAACATGTGGCAACGTTTTCGGCCCAGTTCTGTCCGAGGCGTCCGCTCGTCGGGGTGTGGAACGCATGAAATGCAGCGGCGTCTCTTTAAAGCGCAACGAGTTCTAACTATGCATCCGTTTAAATGCATCGTTTCCCCGATCAGACGAGAAGAAGGAAGGAGCACTGAACGCACGTCGTGATGTAAATTTAATTTGATCGAATTCGACGATATTCAGATGAAAATCCCTGTAAAGTATTTTGATATTTTTGTGTGTAAAATTAAAGACGACCTTTTTCTTGTCAATAAATGTATTTTACCGAGTTGTTTCATCTCGTGCACGGCTGACTTGGTTTGTCTTCGAGTTCTTTAAAGTCCAAAGTAAAGGGATAATTCGGATCATCTGGAGTGGAGTTCTTTGGAAAGGTTACATGGGCAGTATCTTACCTGCTGCAGATAGCTTTTTGACCCATCTGTTTGGAGAAATAGTTTATTTCTGACTGGATTAAAGTGGATTGTTGCCATTTTAGACTCCAGTCTCCTTTGGATGCTCAAAAGATCTGGCAGATCTTTAAAAATCACTTGATATTTTGGAAATTAAAGGTTAAAGTTACAGCTGAAAGTTTTTAAACATCCTTCTGTTACAAAAGCTTGTTTCATATACGTTACCCAAATATCACCCGCTGCAAAAAGCAAATGGTGGGAGAGAATATTTGTAAATATAATTTCTCTGAGCAGGAAAGGATTTTATGATGGTAGAAAAAATATTTATGTTTGGTTTGAGCTCTCCCACGTTTGTCCCTGAAACAAAAACAAAAAGATTTTGAAAAAATAAGACATGAAGTACATGGTGCTTATCAGAAAATGCTGTAACCAAATTTAAACAATCTCTTCCATCAATGTTTTCCTCTGTCTTGCAGAGTAATGCATCAGAGAACAGAGACTTGCATCATCTAGTTGATCATCTTACAACTTCAATCCAAACTTCACTTGATAAAATTGTTCCACTGAAAAAGAAAGTAATCAATCAGAGGAAACTGGCTCCTTGGTTCAATTCTGTTGCACACTTAAAGCAGGCATCTAGAAACCAGGAGAGAAAACTTGGAAAGATAGTTTAACATATAAAAAAGCTCTCCGTAAAGCTAGAGCTTTATATTACTCATCTTTAATAGAGGAGAATAAAAATAACCCTAGGTTTCTGTTTAGTACTATTGCTAGACTAATTAAAAGTCCCATTTCTGTTTAACCATGGATCCCTACAACTATAAGTAGTGATGACTTCATGAGATTTTTTATAAAGAAAATTATTTCAATTAGAGAGAAAATTCAAACCATCCTTCCTTCTACCATCTTTAGTCCCCTGTCAAATGAGGCAACTTTAAAAATTTCACTAGAGCCTGATTTTTGTTTGGACAGTTTTTGTCCTGTTGAGCTCTCTGAATTGTCAAAAATGATAACCTCATCCAAACCATCCACATGCCTGCTAGATCCCATCCCAACCAGACTGTTTAAAGAGGCATTTCCCCTAATTAATGTCCACATTTTGGATCTACTTAATTTGTCTTTAATGGATGGTTATGTACCACAGAGCTTTAAGGTTGCTGTAATTAAACCTTTACTTAAGTCTGACCTTGATTCAGAAATTCTGGCCAACTATAGACCTACAGGTCCTTCTCAAAAAATTAGCATATTGTGATAAAGGTCATTATTTTCCATAATGTAATGATAAAAATGAAACTTTCATATATTTCAGATTCATTGCACACCAACTGAAATATTTCAGGTCTTTAATTGTTTTAATACTGATGATTATGGCATACAGCTCATGAAAACCCAAAATGCCTGTCCCAAAAAATTAGCATATCATGAAAAGGTTCTCTAAACAAGCTATTAACCTAACCATCTGAATCAACGACGTAACTCTAAACACCTGCAAAAGCTTCCTGAGGCTTTTAAAAACTCCCAGCCTTGTTCATTACTCAAAACAACAATCATGGGTAAGACTGCCGACCTGACTGCTGTCCAGAAGGCCATCATTGACACCCTCAAGCAAGAGGGTAAGACACAGAAAGAAATTGCTGAACGAATAGGCTGTTCCCAGAGTGCTGCATCAAGGCATCTCAGTGGGAAGTTTGTGGGAAGGGAAAAGTGTGGCAGAAAACGCTGCACAACGAGAAGAGGTGACCGGACCCTGAGGAGGATTGTGGAGAAGGGCCGATTCCAGACCTTGGGGGACCTGCGGAAGCAGTGGACTGAGTCTGGAGTAGAAACATCCAGAGCCACCGTGCACAGGCGTGTGCAGGAAATGGGCTACAGGTGCCGCATTCCCCAGGTCAAGCCACTTTTGAACCAAAAACAGCGGCAGAAGCGCCTGACCTGGGCTACAGAGAAGCAGCACTGGACTGTTGCTCAGCGTCCCGTCCCTCCTGGGAAACACGACCAGACGGTGACAACGCTCTCCAATCGAGCTCATCAATGTGCTTTTCAGGCAGCCGCAGCTAACAACAACGTGGCACTGCTAGCATATAGCGTGTCCAAGAGGCTGGAGGCCGCAGATCTACCTGAGGAGACCAAGAGCTCCCTCTGTAAGGCAGCCGACGCCATCCTCAACATGTGTGCCTCTTCTGTGGTTTGCCTGTCCAGGATTGCAGCGTGGATGACGATGATTCAGCGATCCACCTGGCTTCGTCACTCCCCCTCGCTGCCGAAGAAACTGCACAGAGACCTGATGGAGGGCCCCATCACCAGCGGACGCGCTGTTCGGGAGCAGCTTCAAAGCCATGCTGGCAAACTCCAAGCAGTCGGAGGAGGTGTCGGAGACTGTGCGCCACCTCATCAAGCCACGCGGCTCATCCCACCCCCCG